GAGGGGTCCTGGATTCTGTTCTTCCCTGAGCATCTTTTACTAAGTTCCAGTCAACTATTGCAGCTCTGTGCAAGTCCAGTGAAGTCATTGGGGTTGCCCAGGTGCAACTGCACTGAAGAGCCTGAATTTCAGAACTGGGGTTACAAAGCAGGATGCAGAAGAGAGAAGGTATGTTGCTTTACTCCCCAAGTGCAGGCTGAGCTGGCATGGCTGATGGCTAGAAACACCTGCTTCGAGGAGGTGTTCTCTTGTGGGAAAATATAAATAAATAACTGAAATACTTGTGATCTGAGCGAACTGGCTGTGGTTTAATTCACAGAGAAGCATAGAACTGTTTTCACAAAGCCGCTTGGTGCTGTCCAAGTGCAGTATATTTCCAGGTTTCTGCAGCTCAGAGGCCCACCTGAGGATGCAGAGCTGCACATGTTGGATCTTTGCCACATTAGGTAACTCATAAGGAACTAAACCACCCAGCAAAACCTAGATGGTGCTATTTTTTTTTTCTTTTCTGTTACTTTTCAATTATTTTTTTTTATTTTCTGATCGGAAGGAATTGTATTCCTACAAGGAACACATTGAACACCACATTAAACATTAAAACAGGAACGCATCACTACACCCAGGACATCTGTTTTTTTCCTCCAATACTATTGCAAGTACATCATTGTATTTAAAGAAACTGAAAGAAGGATTTTTAAATATATCTTTTACTTTGTCTTCTTCATTACAAAAATACTAATCCCTATCATGAGGTTTTCTGTCTGCATTTAAATATTTCCCTGCAATACACTTTGTCTTGGGGAATATTCCACAGTGTAACATATCTGTCATTGAGATTGTTCCTCAGATGATCAGTTCCATCTTGTTAATCAATAAATACATACACCTCTCGGGCCTCTCCAGATAGATTCACTGCCAGCTTTGCTGAGTTTTCATCAACATTCAGGAAAGCTTTCCTACCCCTGTCTAAAATCTAGGCGATGTTCTGTAACGCGCGTTGTTGGTTAGAATGGGGTATGTGCCATATCTTATGAGAAATCTATGAATGAATTCCACTAACTTAGAATGAACCACACTCGCTGCAGTGTACAAGTGTAATATTTTGATCGCAGGCAAGGTGTTCTTGATACCTCACAGTACAGACTTTTAGCGGCTAGATGGCACTATTGCCAGAGAGTAGAATCAGGTGCAATAGAAAACACCACGCGAATTTACAGGTTTGCTTTTCTTAGCAACAGCTGTGACAGAAGGTAGCTTTCAGCTGCCTACTATATTGATTTACATTTCAGAATTTGGTTTGTGCCATGTATGCTGTCTAACTCAGTAATATTTTCATCCAGCTTTTTCTTTCTTCTCGTAACAGCATAGCAACTCAGTCGTGTTGTTCAGATCTCCCTTTGGCTAAGCGCTAGAGAACGGCAAACTCATGGCAGAATCACCTCAGGTTAAAGGAAGCATGTGCATGAAGAGAAAGCTGACTAGATGGCATGCTGATCTTCTCTTCTTTCTTTTTACCATTTGTCCCTTCCCATGAACATCCTCCCCTCTCTCCTCTTCCTAAGTCCACCCCTTTGTGTCATTCATTGCAAGAAGGGACTGGGAAACCACTGCCAGAGTGTCTGTCACTCCACTGAGCTCTGTTCAACCTGCATTGCCTTGTTCAGTGTGCAAAAGCAAACGTGATTTTTCTTATGCCGTTGCACCAACACCATAGATGTACTGGGTGCCAGTGCCCAGGCGCTGGGAAGGCATGTATATGGAAGGGTAAAATGCTGCCTGGAAGCGAGGAGAGAGGGGGAAAAAATGTAAGAAACAGCCCTGCTAGCACAAGGTGAGAGCAGGAGGAGGGGAGGAGGTGCTGAAGGTGCCTGAGCAGAGATTCCCCTGCAGCCCCTTGAGAACCCACGCTGGAGCAAGTTTATCCTGAAGGACTGCAGCCCGTGGAAGGGCCCACGCTGGAGCAGGGAAAAAGTGCGAGGAGGAAGGAGTAGCAGAGAGGAGCTGTTATGGACTGACCCCATAACCCACCATTCCCCATCCTTCTGCTTGGGGAGGGAGGTAGAGGAGTCAGGAATGAAGGACTGAACTTGGCCCTGGAAACAAGTTGGGAGGGAGGTAAAGTGGAAGGAGTGTTTCGTTTCATTTTTATTTCTCACCATCCAAATCTATTTTAAATAGTGATAAATTAGATTAATTTTCCCCAGGTCAAGTCTCATTTGCCCATGATAGCAATCTGTAAGTTGTCTTCCTGTCTTTACCTCAACCCACAAGGTTTTTCATTTTAATTCCCGCCCCCCCCATCCTGTTGAGGAGGGAGAGTGAGAGAGCGGCTGGCTGGGCATCTAGCAGCCAGCCAAGGTCCACCCACCACAAGAGAAAGAAGTATTTTTGTCCTGTTCAGCAAGGTAATTTTTTTTTTGGAGGCAGTCCAGATTTCATTTAGTTATTCCCAGTAATAAATTGGAATTTTAAGAATCAGTTATGCTTCTAAATCTTTATTCCAGGAACTTATCTTACTGAACTCATCAGGCACAAAGTGCTTTTGAAAAGCAATAATTTCCATAAAACAAGAATTCAAGTGACAAACCTAGGGCATCCAAAATGACTGGTGATGTTAGATACCTCTATGTTCTTAACACACATGCTGAGATGAAAGAGGGAAAACACTCTAATAACTGCAGTCCTTAAATTCTCCTGAAGTTGGGACCCTTGAATGGATTAATCCTAATGTCTCTTAATGCTTAAAAATGTAGGCTTAGGCACACCTTAGTTTCTGATATTCATCTCTAAAAGTACATGTCAATCATTGCTCAATTTTCCTATTTTTTTCTTCTTCTTTCCTGTAACTCTCCAGTTCTGTTTTACTAAAAAAAAAATAAATAAGGGGGGGGCAGGGAAAATAGCTATTTCTTTTTCATAAGGGACAACTGTTTCTTAAGGTATTCCCTGATTTCTCAGTTTTGTAAGTTGCTGAGGTGTTATCGGGAGTCTTCCAGCATGTGATTTTTTTTTTGACTTGGAAAGCCAGTAAATCATGTCAGAATCCTGGCTGATGTTTCAAAATACAGTAAATGTCTTACATCACCAGAAATATTGAACAAAAAAATCCCCAAACATGAAAAACCCTAATCACTTTGCCACTCAGGATTTGGCGAGCATGATTCATGATATGTGAAAGTTTGATCTTGACATTATGATTTCTTATTTTCCAAAATTCTTACTGCTAGAGACATTTTTTAAGTAATTTTCTTTGTAATTTTTGTCTCTTCCCAGCCCTTTTGTAGAAATTACAATTTTCTCTTTCCACCACAGTATGGTTATAAAAGATTTTCTTCTTTCCTTTAACTGCTTTGGCTAGCATTAACTCATTCTGCTGTTTTGATTCTTTAGTGTTTTTCCCTTAGTGAAACTGTTAGACATGGTGTCCTTCAGGCCTTCTTGGAGTATAATCACTTAGACCTTCTTTATGTCCTGTATAATTGCTGAGTGGTAAAAGCCAAAATGAAATGAAATGCATCTGTGCTTTCACAAAAATGCTTTTTAAAGTAGCCTTCTAGCTAAATGATGGACTCCATTTATGTACTGTATGGAGTATTTATGTACTGCATACATTGGGCCAAATTATTTGTGCTTCTGCTTGGGTTTGCTATGACCCAGTCCTGCCAGCATTCTCCCAAAGGGGACGTGCTTAACTTGTCTGTTTGAACAGCTGAGCTGAGAAGAGGGGATGCTGAGTAATACTCCTTCCCACAGTGTCTGAGGCACTACCACAATGGCAGTGTTTGTGCAGACAGGATCATGTCTTAGGTCTAATTCCACATCCCAGTAAACTCCGTGAGATAATTCACGGCTGCATTTCTGCACTTGGAGTATATACTGTACTACTAGTATATACTAGTGCTACTTTGGGAAAGCCTTTTAAAAAGGCATGATACTCCCAGATTTTTATTTTTATCTGAGGGCAATTGTGCCTTAGAAATGGTTTATTTGAAACCTTTGACCTGAATTCTAATCTGATTTAAATTCATTTAAATTCAGAATAACTCTGGGTTAACTCCAATGTAAGTGAAGTGCTAGTCCATGGGATAGCAATGGTGATTCACAGAAATGCAAACAGCAGCTGGCTCTGTGTCCTTAGTTAATTTGATTATATAGTTTCAGTTTAACTTAAACAAAAAGTAATGACCTTATTATTATTTTAGGAAACCTATTTTGAGAGGAGGGAATCATATTTCCTACATAAATCCTTTTTCAAATATCTTCTTTAGATATACACTTTGCTAGAGATGGAGTTGAGTTTTTGTGGGGAGAGTAAAAGCATACTGGATTTCACTGATCACAGTTGCTTTAAATTACGCAATGAGGAGAGAGACGCTGTTTGCACATGAAGAAAACAAGGTTGGCAGCAGAGATCACAGAGGGGACTTGCCTTCATAGTTTCTTTCTACTGTGGACCAAGTACCAGCAGAAGGATTGGGGTGTCTTTGCAAGAATTATCTTAGGGGCCACATTTGGCTAAGGTAACCATCAGACAAAAAATCTGGGTTCAATGGTAGTAAGCATTCTTTCGCGATTTCTGTCTCAAGCACTATCCTTCTGAAGTTTTACAAGAAGAAATTAAAAATAAATTGTTGAATCTTACTTTGCCTAAATGTAAATTAAGATGAATCTCAGGGCTTTCTCCTAATATTATGAAATTTAGTAAGAGCTGAAAACATTTTTTCAAATATTAAAATCATAGTTACATATGATATTTTCTGATTTTTGCAGACATTTTCTCTATGTCTTATTTACCCTCTTACCCTCTTGTCTCTCAAATTAAAGTCTGCCTTAAAATATCAGTGTTCTAAATCTTCTAATCACCTTCAAAATTACAACAGGAGTAGGGGAATTGAGAATGTTTTTCAATAACAGACCTTACGAACTCTAATATTTGCTATTGTACAGTTCTGTAATGTCTGTTGTTTTATCTTTGTGTTTTGTCGCAGAATGAAAAGGAGAAGCTGACATGGAGTGACCGTATGCCTGGATATGCAGCAAACTTTGGATTGATTTTATTTATGGTAATATAATCTGCAGTTCTACGCATGTATTAGGTGTGAGAAACTTTGCAATGAGCATCTTGAGTGGAATCCTCAATTGGTGTTCTCAAAGATGCTAAAAATCTGAAGAAAGCTAGGGTTGTAACCTACAGTTTGTGAGAAATTCATGTCCTACTAGGAAGATTCATAGAGCTCAATGCCTACCTCCAGCCTTATTCTCTTTTTCCAAAGGCTGCTTATGAGAGGGCTGTTGGCTGGATGACTTGCTGCAACGGCAGCAGCTCATTACTAGATGCTGTCTCTCCCACAGGGTTTCTGCTCTGTCCTTCATTATCTGATGGAGGGAAGCCCGCTGCATATTTGCTTGTGAGCACAGTATTGGGGATGCTCTGTCAGAATGACATTTAGAAGTGTCGAGCCTACTGAACAGGTGTCATACAGGTAAAATAAATCTGTTGCTGAGAAGTATTTCTCCAACACGCGTTCAGGGATGGACTATACTGTAGTCGAGGAAGAACGTGGTATACAATCCTCACTTGAGAACAAGAATAAGGTGTGCAGGTCAGCCATCTGTGAAGTGTGGACACCACTGTCCTAGCAAAATTTCCAACAGACCATAAACACATCATCACACTGCTAGACTTTGTAAACAGCAATAGGAAAGCCTCACTAACAAACCTTAAATTATGTTGTCAAGGATCCCATTACCCCTCTGGTTACAGAAATTACTGAATGAAAGCATGTATTCGCATCTAGAGCCAGCATAAAATGGCGATGAAATATGCCGGTTTACACCACAGGAGCATCTGACATGGGAAAATTACTTAGGGACTAAATTATTTTAAAATACCTAAGTGTATTTCTAATTTACTGGAATTTGCATATACTGCAATAGATGTCCTGTGAAGATTTAAATTTTTTTTCTGACAATCAAACCCATTTTATATTCACGTTGAATTCAAATTAATGTCTTCATTTTTATAAATATATGTGTATATATTTATGAAGATATATGTATTGTATGTTAAGTATATTTTCTGTTCATATTAGGTGTGTCATGCATATATATATATCTCTCTATATGTACTTACAACATTTTGAGTGACTTTACCATCCTGAGGCCATACCAAACATTTGCTTTTTAGACAGAACCTCTGACTGGCATCAGTTGGGACTTTGCTTAAAGCAGAGTATACTGAGAATGACTAAGCATATAGCCCCGATTTAGCTTTTACAAGTCATTCTTGTGCAGACAAGGTGCTTACATGTGCTCTTGACTTTAACCACATGTTTAAATCTCCCCTAAGCATGAGCTTAAAGTGCTTTCCTGAGTCATAGCCTATGTATTACACTCCCTGCTTACTGTAACATCTGAGAGAGATTTATAAAGTTAAAATGTAGAGCTCCGATTCTTCAGCTTCTGTTAGTGACTAGTGGAACTGTGCTGGCTTTCACCCTTTAGAGAAGTGGCCACAATGATTTTTTTAGACTATATTGAGCATTAGTAAGATGTAAGCACCTACAGGAGACAACTTACAAACCACGCATGAAATTCAAGTCGGCCCTTGATGAGGGAGAGCCAGCTCTGCTTTCCTACGTGGAGGTTACAATCTGCTTTTTACTGTATGTGATGTTTCTTTGTTTTCTGCTAGATTAGTTAAACAGGGATCGGAAACACCAGACTAAAGTTTGTTGTCAGTCTGTGCAATAGAATTGCACTGAGGAATCTAAGTTGGGCTCATCTACCTCTGTTATTATTATTCACATAGACTAATTTTTTTAGCCATAAGCACTACATACATAATAGGTGATGAAATCTTGAATTTATGTGTGTGTGTGCACATGTACAGGACACAGACACAGAAGACTCAGACACAGATGTGCACACACATGTGCTGCAATTTCTAGTGCTGCAGAAGTGATTGCTGAATTTTTAATACTACCTTTTCCAGGCCCAAAGGGTCTGGTGGCACAAACCCATAAACATTTTCCATGAAGATGTCTACATTGCTATAGAATGATGCTGTTGTGTTCTGTCTCTCCTCCCCCCAGCTTTACTTGCCATACCTTCCATTACGATTCTTGACGTTGCTAAGAGTTTTCTTATTGTAAAACCTTTTCTCTTTATTTTTCATTTGTGTACTTCTTTTGTGTGCTTCACTTCTGTGAATCTTTTTTCAAGAACTGTGTTGTGTTTTGGTTTTTGTTTTTGTTTTTTTTTTTTCTTTCTAGCTTTTCTCCTGTCTTTATTAAGCTAGGCATGCTGTTTGTTTCTTTAAAAGTGCAGGCTGAAAAAAATGTTTGGTTTGGTTCTCTTGCCCAATTGGTCTTCATGTTTTACACCACCAAATAATTCCAAGAATTATTTTACATATTTATGGATGCTTTAAAATCTGGTCACAGTTCTTTTGTTGTACACAAAGCCTCACTCGACTGCAGAGGGGGCAGAAGATCCAACCTTGATTTAAGCAATGTCTTTTGCAGGGGTTTTAGAACAGAAGTTCACAAGTCTTATTTTTGCCCAGTAAGACCAGTGTTAACAGGAGGTCTAGACTTAGCTGGGCATATACAAGTTTGGCTTGGGTGCGATTAGTAATAACATATGTCACAGTTTAGAAACTGCATATTTAGAAGGTACATATTCTGACAAAGATTTCTGAGTATGTGACAAAAGCGTTGGTAGCCGTTGGAAGAGAGCAGGAAGTCATGGAGCAATGCCATCACTTGAGCTTTTCTTTGGGTTCATTGTGTTTGGTTCAGTCAGAGGAAGGAAGAAAAGCAATTAGTGTCATGGCACAAGAGTTCAGCCTTTGCCTTCGTTGGACCCTGTTGCCCTATTCTTACTCACATGGCATAATACTTGACTCTGGAATAGCCCTACTGGGGAGCCAAAGAACTGTTTGGACATTAAATTGTTATCCTACTTGGATGAAGGTAACAGTCTAGCCCACGGGGTTTTATAGCTTCCTTCTCAGATCTAGTATGCTTTCCTGTTTGTCTTCATTCATACCAGGCTCAGTAGGTGACCTTTTCTGCAGCCAATTTTCACATCTGTTTCTAAGCAATTCAGTCCTTGACAGACTCGTTTAGATATTCACTGAAGAAACTGTCTGCCATAGTAGGGGATTGAACTGGCCAGATGAAATGTTGGCAGTGACAACAAAACCCACAATAGGCACCTGAACGAAAGGTGACCGTCTGATTTGGAATTCGGGCCAAAGAGGTATTTTCAGGAATGGAAAAAATGCTGTGAAGATACAGGCCCCTTCCCTCTCAGAGACCATCTGGGAAGTGAGAATTATGCTCTCAGTTACCGTGCAGTCCTACAAGCCCTCCTCAATTTTCTCTTGTTGCTAGATGCACAGATAATGAAGACTCCTAAAGGAGTGTTTTTCCATCTGTGTCTAAGCAGATGTTTAAAAACAGCTGGGCAACCAAGGAGCTTCTGAAGCCCTGGTGCTTTTGCAAAACAAATGTCTTTGTTCTTTAAACCAATAAAACATATTTTTTTGGTTAAATTTCTATATCTTGCTGTGGCACTGCATGAATTGAAAAGGTCACAGTAGTGCAAGCGTCTGAGAGTATCTCATCTTCCAGTAACCTTCCCCATTGCTACGGATCCCTTAAATCCTATGGTCAGGTTTAAGAATTTGCTATTCAACTTCCATCACCTGAAATTTCCTCTTTCTGTATTTAATGATGACTGTCCTTAATGACTCTTTTTCCTGTACTGTTAAGATACCACCTGTCAGTGGAAGCTTGTGATGGAGACAGGTGTCTATGGGGGCCCAGAGCACTCATCATCTCCAGAATGATGCATATAAGGTTACTTTGCTGTTTTTCCTGGTCCACCACCACAGTAAAAATTTCAAAGAAATCCACAGGGGAAAGAAACAGAAAAAGAGTATTTGGAAAGTGATTAAGAGGAAGGAATCTGTGACCCAAACTGAGAAAAAGAAAAGAGCTTAAGGCAACTGTAGAGGTGGAAGGTGAATTAGATTACTGCCAGGTGGTGCTGTTTTGTTTTCTCTCCTTATTGGGGATATTAGTCTCTACTGTAGTGATCGCTTCTGCAATGGGCAAGTTAGGAAAAAGTTCTGATCTTTGTGTTCCTGCACCGCTTCTGTCATAGTAAGAGCTGAGCAGATAGTTCAACATGAATCAGATTTTTATCTGCAGGTTTGGTAGGTAAGTCAAAAGAAAAAAGAGAAAAACAGGCAGGAAAAATTAGAACTGCATTCTCAACACAATGACAGCTACAAAAGGAAAGGAAATGATATTTTATGCCATTTGAAATGTTTTCATTTAAAGTGTTTTGTGTTTAGACCTTTTTCTTCAGACCAGTATTTGAATGAAAAATATTAGCATGAAGCAAAACCTCATAATTCACCTACATTTCATTTAAAATTAATGAAACATTTCTTTAAAAAGTAAAAATCAGATGTTTTACTAGCTCTAACATTTTATTACTATTTTCTTACAAAACTCATTTGTGAATTTCATCTCGTATCTCCAGGATTTTCTCCAAATGATTATTTTTAAGTATGTTTAGAACATTAGAACAGAATATGCCCAGTTTTCATCTTCAACCTTTAATATAGCTCCGATTCTTGTTCTGGTTCTTTTGCAATAATACTTTTTCACGAGACAACCTTCCTCTGTATACAGGAATTCAATAAACTATTGTTGGGTCATTAAAATGAACTGTTAAATTTCCTTAAACCTGTGTTGTGAATCTGGGCCCCTAGGCCCATTGAAATAATTGCAATAGTCTGATCTTTTACATTTAGGTAGTTTCTTTCATCTGAGGATCTCAAGATGTTTTACCTAAAATAATGAATGCACATTGGAATTCTTGCCAAAGGCTAAAATGAAAGAGAAAAATGTACACTCTCTCCCTTTCCTGCTCTGGCTATGAAAATTTGCTATTTTTTATTGTTATTTTATTGATTTTTTTTCATTGTGGGGTGGATTATTTTTTTGAAACCAGAGTACTACAGCCCTGTGAAATTCAAATTCTTCTTGTGGGAACTTGACCTTAAGTAGCAGGGCTGACTTTCCTCATCTCATGGGTCAAAGCCAGCCCATGAAAGATGCCAGGATACCAACTGATTTCTGGGACAGAAATGTAAAGTGAAGCCCTAGTAACCCTGTTTAGGTCAGTCTTAAAAGAACAATAACAAGGGAAATATATATTTTTTTTATTTTTTTTTTTTTAAATTTGTGGCAACAGTTGAGCAAACACAACCGGAGAGTAAGTTGCCACTTCTGCTGTGCAGAGGGGAAGCTGTTTCAGCCAGTAAAGCCCATTTACTTGACTGCACATACATGTAGGCCCTTCAGTCCAAGCTGTGTGAACCTGTTGCCAGAAAAAAGACCTTGCTGAATACCTGCGTTTGAACCGAACTACCTGAGTTTCACCAGTACTGCATGAATAATAGGCAGAGCTTTAATCAGAGAGGATGTGCACATCTTCAGGAATTGTGCCAGTTCAGAGTTCTGCATCCATTTTCTTCATTATGTTCCTGTTAGAGAATTTTGAATTCTCACCTTTTAATTTGCTTATCCTCGTATTATTATGTTGCTCTAAGAAATAACCACACAATGCCAATTCATGGAACAAACCCAACATACCAGTCAAAGCTTCTGTTTGAATGTCAGTATCAAACTTGAACTAATCTATCTGTACGTTTCTTTGCAGATTATGCTGACATTTTCAGCAGTGTTTGGTGTGATTGTGTACCGAATTACTACAGCAGCAGCTTTGTCATTCAGCACAAATGAGACAACCAGGTCAAATGTTCGAGTGACTGTGACCGCAACTGCTGTCATCATTAACCTCGTCGTGATACTTATACTTGATGAAATTTATGGAGCTGTTGCCAAATGGCTGACAGAAATTGGTAAAACTATCTCACCACATTCCTCATTAGTACATTACATGTATTGACACGAGAGTATGCAAGGAGGTTCTAATAGGAATATTTCCCACTGAAGAGTGCCAGTGAAAATATTCAGGCCTATGGGGTAAGATGCTCAGACTTGCCTCTGTGAACTAGGGGTCTAAGCCGCAACATGCAGTGTTGCCACTAATAGGACTAATTAGCCTGGCTACAATGCCATGTTAATGCAGCTGTGCTATTTCCAGGATCTCAGCTGGTATTTCTGCATCACGCTGGCTCTGTGCCAAGATCCACTTATCTAGAGCTGGTTGAGAATTTTGACCGGGTATGTATTTTGATATATATCTTTACCTCTAGGAGCTTGGTTTACTGAAAGTCATTGGTTTGTTTCAAAGATGTTGCTGGCTCTGGCAAAGCTACACTGGCAAATCCTTACCAGGTTATTTTGCTGATGTGATTTTTACCAGGTCCTTACCACTTAAAGGATTTTTTTGCCATATGGGCATGTCTGGGCTGGATTTTTTTATAATAATACCTATTTCAGTTAGAGGGTGGATTGTTGTTGTTTTTTTTTAATGTCATATTGTTACAAGCCTGGCAATGTAGTAAGCCTTTTAAAGGCGAATCAGTCCTTCGACTACTATATGGGTTTATGAACAAGGGTTTAGGCTGAGGTTTTGTTTTGTTATATAAATTAGGGCAAGGATGTTTGCTGATAGGGCCCTAACATGAGATTCTTATAGCCGTCATAAAGTATTGTTTCCCGCATTTTTATACATCACTTCTAATTCTAGATTCTAGAAACACTGAAAATCAATCAGCAGCCACAGATGCCCTTAACTGTAGCAAGTGCTCTACCTGTACATTTTAGGCATCTAACCTTAGGCATCCAAATTAGAAACTTTTTGATAATTGGAGCCTGACTCAATGATTCGAAATTGCAGATTACCTCCCTGTAAAACCTACAGTGATGCGAAGCTGGCTGGAACTAGCAGACTTCAGATTGAAACCTTAGGAACTCTTAAGACTTTTGCTTCTTGTTCTCGCTTTCTCAAGACACTTTCAAAGTCACAAGTGAAAACATCTATTTTAGTCTTATTTTCTGAAGAATGCCATAAACTGAAGTTTTGTAGTTGTCGTAATAGACATCCAATCTGAATTTATGAAATAATGGTCCTGTTGTTTTACCAGTAAGAATAGCCTGACCGTTTAGATTAGATTTGTAAAGTATTTGAAAGAAATGAAGACAAAGCGATTCATTTTCACGAAACGCCACCAAATGGGGTTCATTTGTTTGTTTCTGTTTGGACCCAGCTTTTGGTAGAATGTAGCACGGTTACACAAATGAACTCTGTTCTAGTGGCTTAAGGAAGCTCAGGCTTACTGTCCAGGCCAAAATTGTACCCAGATTTTCAGCTTTTGTATAACTGACAAGCTGCTAACTGTGTGTGACCTGATGAATTCTGTCCGCTGCACCCACAGCTGTTAAGGCATCACAATCTGTGTGGAAAGCGTAGGAAGAGATGAAGGTGAGGCTTCTCCTCTCTGGCAGTTTCTAGGCCAAAGATTGGAAGTGCAAACCACTGTCGTTGCCTCTCTGGTGGATGCACAGAAGGAAAATCTCTCCCTTTGAAACATGCAGCACTCTGAATTGTGAAAGAAACAACAATTTCTTACTTGCTGATTATTCTCCCCCTGTCACTTTGCATTTAATTCTTACCCTTCTATCTTTATTTAGTCAGCTTTCCTAATTAACCATCAGATGTTTTGTTTAAGAAGGATCCAGTCTGAGTAATCTCTAGTGCTACAAATTACACGTGTTAGAAAGTTCATTCAGGCAGCTTTCTCCAGTGCTAGGCTTAGATGCCAACTGTAATCAAAATGTTAAAAAAAAAATTACAACTCATTCGTGCTGATAAATGCTCCTTACCTTGTGAACTTTCATTTTGCTGAGCAGAGCAAAACATACTCAATTCTTTTTTCACACTGCAGTTAATTGACAAGCTGAGGAACGCACTTGTTGGGCTGGAGGAACAGCTCTTGATGGCATAGGTTTCTATTCCAGCCCCAAGAGCACTTGAATCTTTGGTCAAGTGAAAAATTAAGTACACCTGTAAGCCCAAGAATAGTACCAATGATAGCAATTGTATTCTTTGTAGGATCAAAGTAATACTTCTGCCTCAATACCTGCTGAATCAGTGCTTGGGTGAAAAAAAAGTAGTAGTAATGTTGTAATCAATACAGAGAGCTCATACAAGATGCACTAGGACTCCATGCACCTCTCATGGATCCAGAAAAGCAGGGCCCAGCAAAAGGGCAGGTTATATCCTGGTATTCTCCGGCTGAATATGTCTTCTTCAATAATCAGGTGGTGTCAGACTTGACTTAGAACTCATTTACTCGTAACTTCCCTTAGGTCAAGGAAGAACCAGTCAAAGGGGGACAAAATCAAAACTACTTGAGTTTGTGCCTTATAAAGGCAGCAATTCCTTCAGTGAGCCCATGCCCCAGATAGCTCATTTCATTCTCTATCTGGAAAGTTTCAGCTGCCCAATTTTGGTGTAACATGCTGCACAACCAAACATATATTATGAGTGTATCTTTTTTTTTTTTTTTAAAGTTTTCTCTCTTACTAGTGCATCTATTCTGGCCGGATGCATTTCTTCTGTAGCAGACTCCACTAGCTAGAGGACAAATTCTATGCATGCCTCTATTGGTATGGTATAGTATATCTGAGTGTGGGGAGGGAGTGAAGTGCTGAGAGAGGCTCTGGAACCATATATGGTGTGAAAATTTTCATCCAGAGGCTGAGCTCATCTTTGTGGGAGGTCTCCATAAGGCAAAGGCTAGGATTTTTCTCCCTCAAATTAAAAGCTGCACTGCTGTTACTCGATATTCCTGTTGCCCTGAGCTGTTGTCCTGAGGATCTATCCAGCATATGGGGTCATCTACAAATTGTTCAAATCCTTTGAAGGTTTAATTAAGCTTTTCTATACGTATAGGTGAATGATGGCTTAGGGCTCACCAGGTTGTATATTGACCTTTTATGAAAATATGGTCAAAAGGATCACAAATGAAGCTGGGCAGTGGGGATTCATTACAGCTTTGCTATTTCTTTAGTGCTCAAATAAACACCATGCTGCTTTTTTAAGAAAAAAACCCAAAGCAACCAAAACACTCAAACTGTGCCCCAAAACAAAACTGTACAAGTACAGCTGTATTTTTAATGAAGTTCTTAAAGCCGGAGCTCTGGATCTACCTTATTATTTTGCACCTCCGCTGTGCTACAGAAATTCAGTCAAGAACATACCACAATAAAATTACCTGCTCTCACATTAGTTAACAGCTCAGGATGAGCATGGCAATACAAGAATTTAACCCATATAGAGTCTTTAAAAGAGGATCCTACTGTCAATTTGAAAAGCCTCTTCATTATACCTATGTGTTCTGTCACTGGAAAATTTCCATAGGAATTGGAAATAAACCTGAGAACAGTCATAAATACTGAAAATGTTTAAGACACATTTTTACAAGTTATTTAAAGAAGTCTAGAAATGTAGAATATGTATAGTGAATAGAGAAACATTAGCAAAAATGTGCATTTATTTTGCATGACAATTAACAATTCACTTAATGCCTTATTCAGAAAGGTGCTTAGTCTTGTGTTTAATGTTAAGCACATTAACAATCTCATTACAGGAAAAAAAGGCTTGTGCACACAAAGTTAAGAAGGCTTTTAAGGTGTTTTTTCTAGATGAAAATCTTTGTAGGTTGCTTTCATCATTCATGAACTGAGAATTTAATGCTCTGTTATTTCAGTTGTGTAACTGATACAGTTATGTATGTCGATATGCATATGCTTATATACATTAAAGCTATTTATACTGCTTTAGCTGTATGCAGTTGAATTTCACGAGCCAATTACTTTTTTGTTCAAACTCCAGAGAGCTAGGAGAACCATACAAATACATAATAATTATTTCTATCTATTATTATTAATAATATTAATAATATGTTCATTATGTTAATAAAATATATTTAATGATAGCATATAGTTAATAATATAATAGATGTCAGAGTAAGTGACAGAGGAGGTGTGTGCTAAGACTTCCCAGAAGTGGCCTGAAGCAGAGGAAGGTGATGCTGTCTGCCCAGGCCTCTCCGCAAGGCAATGGAAGAGACTGGGAAAGAAGTGACGTGTTGTCAGGTCCAGACCAAGTGTCGGGATCTGTTGGGTCCTTTTGCCACCAGGGTATTGGATAGACAGCATGAGCAACTTGAGATAAGCTCTCAGAGGCCTATCAGAGAATCAAGTTCATTATGTTGTCATGATTAATGTTTCTGTCAAAGAATCTTCAGTTTCCATCTGGAAATTTGGAAGGACTCTCTGGAAATCAGGCGTTCGTGACAGAGCTAGTGTGCATTGGTACAAATTAAAAGTACAAAAGAAAAAACAATATGAGCTTGAAATTTGTGGTTTGGTGTGTATTTGTAGATATCAAGGATGTTTACATATTTACTAATTGATTTCTCTGGTTTAATTTTTTTTTTTTTCCCCAGAGGTACCAAAAACAGAGAAAACCTTTGAGGAGAGACTGATTTTGAAGGCATTCCTACTGAAGTTTGTGAATTCTTATGCACCAATTTTTTATGTTGCCTTTTTTAAAGGGAGGTAGGATAAATGTCCTTTAAGTATAGATATTTATGTATATAGATATTTATGTGTGTATATATATGCCTATATTAGTGGACCTGTGTTTAAAAATGGGCACAAAGGGCTACCTTACTAAGTCTGGGACAGTCCACCTTCACCAGCTATGAAAAAAATCATAAATAAGGTTGTCTGAAACTTGATTTTGAATGGCAGAGCATGACGCTGAGCACTGTCTTGTCTCTCTTCTAAGTAGAGCATTGCTCTGAAATGCAACCATTTTAGTTTTCTTTCTAAATAAGAATAATCCACATCTCAGAAAACAATTCCTTTTAGTTAAAAAAGGGTGTTGCATTTATGAGTGAATGGTATTGCTTACAGGTCTTCACTTTCTACATTTTAGCAAATTTTTCTTGAAGCATCATTCAGCAAAGAAAGGTTTTCCTGTTTCATTTAAAATTATGGAACTACTTTCCCTATTACTTTCTCAACATTTTGCACTATTCGCCCGTATCAACTTAAATTAAGAAATAGTTATAGTCAACTGGAAGTTGCATGTTTTGGCGAATGAACTGATTGACCAAAAAGCTAATTCAGCTGTCCTGCTAAATAAGTGTGACTTCCTATGGGTTCAGGATCGTTGTCTTTGGGGACCCAGTTATCCACAGTATAACACATGCTTTTGAATGGGAAGCTTAAAATGATTGTTTGTTAAAACTTTGGCAAAAATGTTTGAAACATCCTCTAGATTCTGTTTCATACCATTTTTCTGTTCCTTTTGGGGGCTATAAAGTATGTTAATCTATACTCTTCACTAATCCTATTCAGTATCATTGATTTAAGAATTAATGATACATTTTACCAGCAGTTGTAAATATTATAAGACAGTAATGAAAAGTATCACCAATTTCTTTCTTTTTTAACTATATTTTTGTGTTGTATGGCTATAATAAAGTCAGTCTCACTGTTTCTCCCCATGTAGTCAGAAGAGTCTTTACTGTGTATAGATGTGCAAATAACTCCATTCAAGGCATTACTCAGATGCAAGAGAATGTGGGTTAGGATATGTGTTCCCAGTTTTGTTTGTGATCTCTAATCAAGAGAGGGAGATTATTTGTTATTTTTTAGCACAGAAAATTATTTTACTGAAATTACTTCATCAAGATGTAGTCAAAAAACATTTGTAGAGGCCTCTTACTTTGAAATAATTTTAAATAATCGAAGTTGAATAAGTGTTGTGTCTTTTAAAGCTAGTCTTTCAGCTAGTTCTGAAATATTTTGGCTAATATGAATGAACAGTTATGTTGTTAAAGTTAACTTTTTTCCTATTTTTACTTCATTTCTTATATTGTTATTGTTTTCAGATTTGTTGGCCGTCCTGGTCATTATGTATATGTGTTTGATGGTTATCGAATGGAAGAGGTAAGTAAATATGAAATTCAAACAAAGAAATCCTTAACAAAAAGAGATACGTGTGCAGTGTATTTCAGTGGAGTTTAGACAGTAAGGGAAAAGTAGAAAACATGTTAAAACAAGATGTTAAATCTTCAACATACATAGACAAAACCCTAATTTTCCATCTGAAGCACCTGTATGTTCTTTCTTTCTGCAGTTTTGCGTCCTTCATGGTGTTTTGTAGGTGAAGCTTCACCATTTTTATGCCTTACAATGGGGCACTAAGGCACAAACATTATATGGTTTTCCTGAGGCCCTTGGGAAACCTATGGCAGAGCTGGAACTTGAAACTGGCTTCTCATTCTGTAGACCACTAGAAGCCCAGCAATTTCAATAGCCTAAAAAGATATAGCCATTTTGTGCTAAACCTGTAAACATTTTTTTTTCCAAAATTCCTTTTAACTGCTGCGGGTATTCCCTTGAAAATCGATAGATGTACTCAAGGTTTTACAATAAAGCTTACACATAAGTCTTTGCAAGATTGAAGACTTTCTTTCCCCTTGGGAGACATCAGGTTGGAAGAGTATTGGTGATACTGCATTATGTTTATTACATTGATTATATAGTAAATATTTTAAAAGGAAATATAGTAGCCCCAGGGCACAGTAAGTTATTTCAGAGCTCTGCATATTTTCCATAATGCAGTTTTATGAGTGGAGATGAAATACCTTGTTAAGCATAGAATTGCAATGATCGACGAGCTCCGTGCTCCTGTGCGTATTGGTGGCAGGGACGATGGGCACATATAGACATTGGTAGCTCTCCCAGGTGAGTACTTTTAAATTAATTCTCTCAATCCCTATCCCTTCACACTCCATGGTTTTGTTTAATTACAGTGTGCTCCAGGAGGCTGTTTGATGGAACTCTGTATTCAGCTGAGCATCATTATGCTTGGAAAACAACTGATTCAAAACAATCTGTTTGAAATTGGAATCCCGTATGTATCCCAGCCTTCTCCATTACCATGCATTATTCGTCTGACACAGTAAATTAGAGCTTTGATCCTTATTCAGCTGAATGGGACTTTTGCCACTGCCTTCACTGGGTTCTAATTGAATGTGATGATAAATCACATTTTTGGTTGTGATGAAATGATCTGGCTGTATTTTATGTTGAATAATTGGCTATATCTGCAGTAAATGGCTTAAAGAAAGTGATTGAATATATTAAATAATTGATCTAAATTAATTTTAGAAACCTGGGAAAACAGGCAAGGTATGATAGATCTCTTGGGAAGTTTTAGAGAAGCTTTCAGGGTAGCAGTATCGAATACAAATTAGTATAAAGTGGAGGAGAGATGGCGTGGAGAAAAGCAATGGCTCATAAAAGATGTTAAAATGTATTACTTGATCTATGACTATTTTACGGGTTTACAGATGAAGTCCGCACATTTCTCAGGTGCCTGTATGTCAGTATGTCACTGTATGATGCAGGAGCTGGGGTATGGGAGAGATGCTGACACGCTGCTCAGCGGCTCTCTGCCACAGGATGCTTAGTGCACAGCACCTTCTGCTCCAAATACAGCAAGAAATCTCTCTTGGTCCATCTCCAGTGTCAAGGGGATCTTCGGGCACTGAAAATCCACTGAGAATGTCCTGCTCCTGTCTCTTGGGAAGTTTGCTCTTGTTTCTGTTAACTGAATCATCCTTGTTGGTGGCAGTGATCTGTGAAATGTTGTAGGAGATGAAGAGTGTGGCTTAGGCGCAAGCCTCAACTCCACTGAAGTTAGTCAGAATCTTTCAACTGTGGTGTCAGTAGCTTTTGGATCACATCCCTAAGGAAGGCCTTGAAGATGCTAGCTAGAAACTAAGATGAGTGATGCTTAAAGGTTATGAAATATTTTTTAAATAAGCCCTTTCCCTTCCTTTTCCTAGCAAGAACTTTTTTTGGAAGTAATTTAAATAGGGAGAAAAAAAAAATCCCAAACAAATCAAATGTGGGTTATGGATGGTTTCATTATTCTTGTGTCAAAGTTCAATAGGGAGGCCTGTTTTCTGTCTACATCTCATTGAGTTTACAGTTTATTTTCAGAAAAGGGTGGTAAATCATCCCCAAAATATCTGACATGTTGAAGGGTTAAAGCTTTCTCAGTGTAAACCTGGTGTGATTTTTTTTTTTTTCCCCATCTTCCAAAAACTTAATGCTACTGAACTTTTTTAATGGGGATTTTATGATGTTAGAAATACTGTATTTATTTTTTTTGACTCATGAAAGCAGAGGCTGATCCAGTCCAAACAGAAAATTCCTGTCAAATTATTTCTCAATTCCCTCACTACAACTCTTGGTGCAAGAATGTGACAATTTCATCCCATTTTTCTCCCTCATTTCTGCTCCCCTGCCCTTCTGCCAACAATCTATGGTGGCCTCAATTTTTAAAACTGAATAACTGTTTAAAAACAAACATACTTTCATCCTCTCCTTCCCAGAGAAATACCTCATTTCAGTCACAATGCTATCTTGTCATCCTGAAATAAGCACATCTGGTTTTCCTTTGCTTGTCTGCATTCTCAAGAAAATCACGTGTATATCTGTAGGGCTCGGCCCTTCTCACCAGACCTGTTTGCACCAGGAGAAGCCCAGTGCTTTACTGAACACTTAAGTTAATTAAATCAGAGTTAGCCTTCTAGTTCTGCATGGACCACTCTGCTGGTTTGAACTGGATCCTTAACGATACTGTATTCTACCCCATCTGCCCCACAAACACAGGCACACAGACACCCTTTGAGTGCCGATCAATCAGATTTTCAGAGGGCTGTGCCTAGGTCTGCTGGGCACATATAAATCCAGACCAGAAGGGATTCCAAACATGCCTGTGTTACACAAGTAGTAGTTCTGGCATGTCTGTGTCTCACGCGTGATCTACTATGTCTATACATGCTGTTGTCTGGAGTTGTGACAGATGTATAGATAAACATACCCTCACCCTCTGCCCTCCTGCCTTCTCATCTGGCTTCCTACTGTATCTTGGTTTTCCTTGGTAATCTCTTATAGTCAGCTCATCTCTGTTAGAACATCCTTTTTCTACCGATAAGTTTTTTATTTTCCTTCCCAGCATATTCCCGTCTTCATCGGGCCCTCGTTCGGTTTTCCGGTGTCTACTTTTGCACAGGCTACACACTGTGATGAACAGTCCTCCTGTGGCAGAAAGGCAGATCAGTCTTTTATATCTCCACTTTCAGCAGCTGCATTTTTTTTTACCCCTTGCCTTGTGCCTCTTTGGAGGGAATGAGAGTTGGAGTGAATAACACAGATTCTTCCACTGGATCCCCGTATTTTCACTGAGGGCAGAGTACAAGTGCTGCAATCAACCCCACCCAAATGGAGAGGCAGAAGGGACTATCATAAACGGTGATTTGTTCTTCAGAATCTGGAACTGTCCTCTATATGTCTGTAACATGGAATTATCTCTCTGCTAAGTTATATGATGACCCAGATCAAAAGAGTTTTATTCCTTATTGAAATCTCAGAATTTCAGGATTATTTTCAGAAAACCTTTTGATTTCACTCATCGTAAAACCCAGGGCATTTTAATTGCTTTGCAGATCACAAAGCCATATTCCCATTTGCTGTCTCTTTCCCACAAAAAAAAATTCTACTAAGTAGATGACAGATGGAGTTTATAAGCAAAAGCCATCCATTACTGTCTCTAGAGCCCCAAATGTTGCAGCAATTGGGAACCATCATTTGATGTCTTCATTCTGGCTTATCCATGGTCAGTGCTGGCTGAGGAGTTATGAGGTCAAGCTTCAGATGGCAGCCCTGTATTGTTTGGGGTCATTAGGACACATCCTTGCTTTTTTCCCTCAATGTTTCTGGAGAAACTGCTGCACATATACGACAGATTTGACTTGCTGGTCTTCTAAACCTTTCTGTGAATTCTTTTTCAATTCCTGCACCTAAGAATATCAAAACATCTAGGTAAATGCAATAACTATTGAATTATGGAAAACTAAGCCTTCTTGAATTGAAATGTGTGTTCTGTGGGGATGGAATTCACAAGTTTAACAGATGTAAATATGCCACAGTTCACTCAAATGTGTCACATACCATAATTCTTTTGTTGTTGCCACAGGAATTGACCCTAAGAGGCGGCAGGGCTTGAGTGCCTTAATCTACAGTTCCTTTAAGACTCCTTTTCTTCAGTTCTGTTCTTCTGAACTTATTGAAAAAAGGTGGTGTGGTTATTTTATTGCTCTCTGTCTTTGACCTTGGTGATAAACCCTTAGGGTGAAAACCTGGCCCTGTTGTAGTCAACGGCAAAACTCCCATTGACCTTAGTGGGGCCATGATTTGGGCCTTTTTATTCAAATCAGTTTCCATCACTTACTCCAAAATGCACTTAACTGTGCTGGATGAGAATATCAAGAATTAATAAAATCAATTTAAAGACACACTTTCATAACTGTTTTTATCTTTAATAGCTATAATTATGTTTAATAAATTATTCTTAATTCATGGGATTTTTTTTGCCTTTTTTTTTCTTTCCTGTTTTTGGTTGTTGTTTTCTTCTGTTTGAAATCAATAAATCCCAAACACAACTGAAAGTCCTGTAGAATCCAGGAGGTCTGAGGGTGCCAAGGAAGCATGACTATACCATAAATTTGTGGAACGGAATAAGATTAAAGTCCTTTTGTTCTCCCCCTGCCTCCTCCTTGTACCTGCTCACTACTTGTGAATATGAGAAGGTCTCTCCTTATACGAACAGACTGTAGGAATATGACTGAAGAAAAGCCTGGACCTTCTGTGCTCCTTCCCCAAAGCAACAAACAAAATTACAGGCAAGGACACGAGAGTCTGAGTCGCTGCAATTCCTTTTCTCTAGACACAAGTGCTCCAGCTACTCAACCTAATAATCTTTTCTGTCTAGCTTTGCCCCTGTACCCTTTTCTGTCAGGCTACAAAGGAAAAAGCATCAACAGTAAGGATAGCCTTAAAAGCCACCTGATATAAATAATCATTCATCCCTGGCATCTGGATTCTAGGGGTTTTCTGTCTTTTCATGTAGAGTCTCTGCATCTCTCTTCTAGCAAGTATTGCCTTGCAATACTTCAAATCCAGTTCTTGGTGACTGTCACAGGTGATCGGCCTTTGCAGTACCTAAGGGCATTTGTTAACTGAGAGTCTTGAGAAATTGGTAAACTGATCCTCAGTTCCAATTTGTCTGGCAAGCTCTGGTGGAGATGTATCGTGAGGACCACGCAGCCACTGAAGACACAAAGACTTGCGCCAAGAAAATGCTTTTCCTGCATCTGTCCTATTTCAACCTGGCCCCCAGCTGCCCTGCCTCTCCAGCCTCTATACGTTCCGCTCTGTCTCACTCCACAAATTTCTCATTTTTCCCAAGTCATCATCATGTCTTCCCCTATATCCCCCAAATCATGCTACTCCTTTTTATTGTATACATAGAGCAACTGTTGAGTCATCTGTCTTTTTTTTTTTTTAGAAGGAGGCTTCGTGTAGGTGCACCATGTGCTTGCATCTCAGCCAGGATAAGTTTGGTTTTGATTTCTCCTTTTCCTCATATTTTTTCTCAAAAGCTTGTGGGTTCTTCAGGGGTGGGGCATTTTCCTGTATTGATTTTATGCTCTCTTCAGATGCTGATTACCTTGCATAATGTGGTGCTTATTTGTATATTAGGAATTACGAACAGCATAATTAAACCATGTTCCCATCTCTTATCTAACGCAACAGTCTAGTGCCAATCCCTCATGAGAAACTGCAGCATCATTTTTAACTGCTCTAGACATAGCCTTTGATAAAAACCTGTTCTTAATTTTCTTTCTCCCTGATTCTACATTCATTCTTCCTTCATGTTATTCAGCCTCCTTAAGAATGTATCTTGCTTTTTGATATTCACCGGCAAAAGGACCAGAAATAATGGCTATTCTACAGTTCTACAGTTTTCACTGTTTGGCCAGATTCATATGGCTACTAGCGGGGTCATGAAACTTTGGTGCATGTGCCTTTTCAGCACAAAGCTGCTCGGAGACTCAATGAGTTTGCTCCTGAATTAGCAAACTTACCTCTTTCTCACTAGTGGGGCTGCCTGGCATGCAGAAATCAGAAGCTAAAATCGCTCTTGATTATCAATGTCTGTCAACTTTGTTAAAAATGTTGAGCTGAGTAATTAAAAAACAGGTTTCACACAAGTGCATTTAAAAACCTTGCTCAGTTTTAATAACACAATCATATGTGCAGCTATAGAGCTCTGCAAAACTCATTTTCATTGCCCTACTGCTGTATAGTGGGAGAATAACACTGTGCAAATCCCTGTTCTCTGTTCCTTTAACTTTCTGACACATTACTGTTTGGTCTCAAACTTCACATGCTTGGATATGACACAAAGGTACATTTTTTGTGGAAAATTTGAAAGAATTAGTTTGGCTTGCTTTCAGTTAGTTGATGCTTTAAAAAAATTACATAAAAATAAAAATAAGAACACTCTTCAAAGTTTAACTCAAATCAGTTAAAGGTGCCACTCCTCATGCCTTGCTTATAGATAGCCAGATGAAAAATTAAAAATTATCCTGAGTAACTGAGCACTGGATTTAGTGTATTCCCAAATAAACATTAAAAACAACAACTATTGTTTTAGTTACTGGGTTCTCAGGGGAGTTATGTGTATGCATTAAACTCCATAACTCGACTCTGTGGTGCTGTAACTAGAGGATTAGATCACACATGTACAGACTTCACATCTAAACACACCCAAATTTTATCTCAGCTGCTGCACAGTGACAGCAAGATGCTCTTCAATCTCATCTGCCCACGGAAATGTGAGGGACATTTATAACTAATTTCATTTTATTGGAACAGAAATCAGCACTGTCTTGAACTTATTGTTCCCTGTCCTCTGAGAGTCACTCACATTAGGAAATTAATTGGGATAAGCTGGAAGAGCATTCTGGGAATTCTTTGGTTGTTTTAAATCCTGCTCCCAGTCTCCTACCCTCTGAATACTACATCACCTCTGTCACAGACAAGTTCCCTTGATTGCCATAAAAGCAGAGAGGGGGAAAGGAAATTTTAGTGTCTCGAAATGGCTGAGTTTGCATGATGTAGGAGGTAAATGTCTTTGTGAAGATCCATCTAATTCTTTCTTGAGAAGTGTTTTAAATCTCCCCACTCTTTTATTAAAACTGTGTAAACTGAATTTTCTGGGTAACTAAAGTATTTGGTTAGCCCCACTCTATCTGGGTATTGCCAAAGTACTGAGGATGTTACCACCAGACTTATGAGCTACGTCTTAGCTGCACCTGGAACAAAAGCTGGAGCGATCTGTTGATTTTTGCAGCTTTGTGATCCTGGGACTGACAGAGCCTGATGCAATCTAGATCTGTTTTAAGAGCATCTGCCAATCCCCATTTCCTCCGTAATGGCGTGATGGAATTGGATGGGTCCTGTAAACACTGGTCGGTGGAGAAATTCTGCAGCCACCCTGGTCATTTCCAGGCTGCTGTAGAGCCTTGTGCTTTGTGGTGACACAGTGTTCCCGTGTGGCTCAGTGTATATCCAAGAACAAAGCAAGAACCCTACCCAGCAAAGCCTTTAGTGAGTTTGCCAGCTAGCCTTGCCCTGCTACTTAAGTTAGGGTCTGAGAAAGCGGTTCTGCTTAACTGGAGGTAAAAATGAAAACCCCCTACTATTTCCCCACACACTTCTGTCTCCAGGCCACACACCTCTAGTTCAAAGGATTTATCGCAAGCTGTGGGGGAAAAGTTTGTGGGAGAGCCCTGCTTACACTACTGGCAAAACATCACTGGAATTAGTCTGGATTTTCACTCATATGGCACATATGTGAAGAACTATAAAATAACGTTGTGCGTATTTGTGAAAGATAAATTTCCTCTGCAAAATGAAGACATACAATAAGTATCAATCTTGATGTTTTATGCTAATTCAATGTATTTTGCTTCCTTGATTTTGAAGAAATGCCTCATTCTATTGCATTTTTCCACAAGAATTTCTCAATGTGTAAAATAGCATGAAGTTATTGATGCATATGCATTTAAAATGTCATCTGTGGGGGGCACTGGGAATACTTTACCCTTCTTTTAGAGATGGATTCATTTTACTCTGGGATTATACTACTTATGACATTAATGTATTTGTCAGTGTCAAGAAATTTGTATCACCATCTCAGTAAGACAGTGATTGATACTACTATTCCTACTGAGGTCCAAAGAAATACTCGCACAAATAATTGGTCACCCATGTGAATAATTTATAGCCTGGCCAAAAGGGACGATGTTATTGTAAAATGTGGTCAAAATGAGAACCTCTGATACAACCTCTTCTGATCTACGGGAGCTGGGAGACGTAACTCATCTGTGTTTACTTAAGAAATGGTAGGAAATGGTTTTGCCTTTCTGCTTCAGAGGCAGTGAAAACTCACCAGCATAGCTGGTCTTGCAAGACGTATACCTTTCAGGTAGCAGAAATATTTCCTGACTGAAATTGGGAATTTCCAAATCTCACTGTAACAGTGATTGGCGGCTAGCTCGGTATTGCACATTTATACACACTGTGGCATACCTGAAGGAAAATTCAGATCCTCTAAAATGCTTATGAGAAATCTCTGAAGGGAGATTATACTCTTGTGCAAGTACATAAAGCACCCAACTCCTGATGAAATAAGTTTTTCAGGGTCTATATCGATCTGCATACTTTGCCATATACATGATTGGTAAAGTCTCAGAAAAAAAAATAATTCAGAAATATTTATTTTTCACAGCAGCATTCAATAAATGTTCCAATTTTGATGTTAGCAGTTATAGAATTCTGTAGTTTCCAGTGGCTTAGGAATAAACTTGCAGAGAAGTTCTGGTGAGTTCCAGTACGAGCTGCATTGTGGAGTACTGAAGAGACTTACTGCATGTATCCCAAGTGACACTTTTCTAGCAATAATTTGTTACTGAATCTGAAGTGACTAAGGTAGGTTTTCTGTTTGTGTATGACAGGAATGATACACCTCGCTGAGACCAAATTCTGCTGATCTTGCTGAAACTCTTTCATTAATCTGATTCTCTCTGTTAGTTTGAACCCTGTTTGCACATTAGGTAGAAGCAAGGGAATTGCATTGCTCTGGTATGAAAGGCCAGTAGTAAAATTAAGACATTGCTTATGCTTAACATTTAATTGGTAGATATTTTATAACATTTAATAGGTACATATTTTATCATTTATATTAGTTGTAGCATCATTTTGGTTAAAGAAAAGAGTGCTTCCTCTTTAAAATTCCACAAGCGGCATCTTTTTTTGTCTATTTAGATAAAGTCAGGTATTTGTGCTTGTGACAAGGGAACACTGGAACCTGAGGAGCTGCACGTGTTTTCTGGTGGTCACAGGGCTAGCTTTAAGTCAAAAATATTCATTTTTAGAGTCCTAAATGGCTTTGGACCTATCAGAATCTTGGAGACACTTTTTTTTTTTTTTGGTGCTGCAAATTTATTAGCAGAGGTGCTCATTTCCTTTTGCTTTGAACAACAGACAGTTTTTCTGCTAAAATGTTCGTAAGTCCACCAGGTTTAGGAATCAGTACATTCTTGCACTCTCTTTCTTTGGCAATGTGTCTGGTATTTTGACCTTAAAAGTATATTATATTGGAAGTTCCCAAGTTTCATGGTGAGAGAAAAGGGCACCTGGGCTAGATACCTGGTATGAAAGTATCACATTACCTTTTGGTATTTTGTTTCTTTCTTAAGGGAGAGGTGCTCAGTGTGTTGTTTTTGAGAGTATTACTTATTACTGATATTATTTAGGTCCACAGTGCTTGAGCTTCAGGAAGATGCCCATTCAACATGTATCTACAGAGAAACAGTTATTAAAAAGCACTGGGTTCAACTCCATTTTAACAGCATTATGCTGTTGTAACTTTCCTCTTAGCACAGGAACTGCTGCCCCCAGCAGCCTGTCACCTGGCAATAAGCAGCATCAGAACTTCAAAGGATGGTGCAAACCAAGGCTATGAGGCACCAAAGTAACATGATATACATTTTGTGCTGCTGTGCAAAGACTTGGGCCAAATCTTGTAGGGGAAAAAAAAAAAAAAAGTCTTGGTTCAATCTGAACTTTTGTTCCTCAGGAAGCTAAAGAAGCTCTTCAGGAAACTGAAGGATGAAAGAACTGAGCCAAAGGAAATGGACACCAACCAATCAAAAGACCCTCAGCAATGGGATCTTGACTACATTTTGGAACCTTTCACTGGGCTGACTCCAGAATACATGGAAATGAGTAAGTTCTCTGACTTCCCTTTCCCTTTCTGCAATAACCATAGACTTACAGAGGACCAATCATGATATATATGACTGTATGTCATAAATTGGCTTGATAAAGGAGGAAAAACCCCAAACACTTGTAGTTTGCAGAAATTACATGCAAGACAACAGGGCTATGAGACTCCCACATTACCAGCATAGCAACAATGATGAGTCTTAATATCTGTTAATACTTACATTGTGAGAGTTCACTGTTCCCAGCTGAGAAAAGTGCATAGAAACCATTGAGCCACAGAATCACAGAATAGCTAAGGTTGGAAGGGACCTCTGGAGATCACCTAGTCCAACCCTCTGCTCAAAGTAGGGTGAGCTAAAGTAAGTTGCTTAGGGACTTGTCCAGTTGTCCTGTTGGGTTTTGAATATTTCCAGGGATGGAGACTCTACAGTCTCTCTGTGCAACCTGTTCCAGTATTTGATCACCCTTACAATATAAAAGTTTTTTATTATGTTTAAATTGCATTTCCTGTGTTTCAATTTGTGCCTGTTGCCTCTTGTCCTTTCACTGGGCACCCCTGAGAAGAGTCTAGCTCTGTATTCTTTAATCCACCCAAGAGTTATTTGAACACCTTGGTAAGATCCCCTTGAGGCTTCTCTTCTTGTGATACAACAATCCAAGCTCTCTCAGCTTCTACTTGTACTTCAGGTCCTCCAATCCCTTAATCATCTTTTCACTGGATTCACTGCAGTATGTCCATGTCTTCTACTGGGGAGCATAGAACTGGAAAGAGCACTCCAGGTCACAGTAGTGCTGAGTAGAGAAGGATCCCCTCTCTTGACCTGCTGGCAATACTCTTCCTAATGCACCCCAGAAGGCTATTGGCCTTCTCTGTAGCTACGGCACATTGCTCATTCATGTTCAACATGTTGTCCATCAGGACACCCAGGCCCTTTTTTGCAAAGTTGCTTCCCAGCTAGTCAGTTCCTCGCTTCCACTGGTGCTTGGGGTTATTCCTCCCCGGGTGCAAGACTTTGCATTTTCCTTTGCTGAACTTTGTGAGATTCCTTTTGGACCATTTCTCCAGCATGTTGAGATCTTTCTCAATGGGAGCACCACTATCTGGTACAACTCCTCCTAAAATTAAAATCGCTTATTAATGTTTCAAATGTAGTAAAAATATGTAGATTCCAAAATATAAATGGTATTTTCTCTTAGAAGTAAATTACCCTTTACAACAGAAAACTGTAGGAATATCTTTTTAGGTTACGTAGTTCATGACTGAGTGTTACATGATACTGAATCACATACACAGCTTTCCCAGCTATGCTTAAATTAAAATTCACATACATACACAACAGGAGAGAACCTTCCGCCTACAAGAGCTTCTTGGTCAGCTGAAAGAGACAGTGGAACAGAGAATTGTTATTCCCATTTTACTCACAGAAAGCTGCAGCAGGCAGGTACTGAGTTGGCCACAGTGGAAGGAAATCTACGCCACACTTGGGAATTATTTCTCAGACTCCCACCTTTCATACCAGGTCTTTAACCAGCACATCTCTAGTTTTTTAAAAGCATGTGCATACTTCCTCCGCATGCATCACCCTGCTGGAGTGACTGACATCACCAGTGGAGTGCACTGCCAGACATTTGGTCATCTTTCAAATCCATGTAAAGTAGGAGCAACACTATTAAAGTTAATAGTATTCTAATTTTGTAAAGCTGGTGCCTGCCCTGCGTGTATCATCTATGTGTTTGTATGTGCTTGCTGTTTTTCACAATTACTTAAATTGCTGCTAAAGTATGGCAGAGATCAGTACTTTTTCAAGGTTGCTCCACAGTTTGCTTTTCCTCGTGAGAGGGGATAAGTATGTGGGTGGAACTGGGAGCAATTCTTAAAGTGGCAAGATGCCACCAGTTATATATTTGGTAACCACACTGCCACATCAGGGAGACAGCAGTTCCTGATTTCTGCTAGGTGGGATCCAGGAGCTGGATCTGCTGCTTCACAGAAATGCCTCTCTCAGGATGTAACATCTATCAGAGAGGAACAGTATGCACTTTTAATTATCTGCAGGTGTGGATTGCTGACATCTTAGTGACTTGATCCATCATTTGCATATCATTAAAAGACTCTGATTTAGGATCTGAGGTCAGTGTGGCCACTGTATGTCATTTGAGAAATAGCATTAGAGTGTTTTCTGCTATCTGGAAGGTAAGAGTCAAGAAAGAATCTTTGAAGTGCTGAGTTTGTTCAAATAAAATACCATTAATAATTTATTTTCATTTTAACTTGTTTGGCACTGTGCCATTGCCCTCAGTAGTTATAATTTGGAAGTCTGGTCAGTTCGGCATCTTGAATGCACTTTGCTCAAGAGAAGATGTAACTTCATTATCCAAAGTTGCTCTGATACTTATGAAATTATGTTTGAAATTCTGAGTACAGTATCTGGCCTGTATAAGGGGATACAGAGAGCAAACCCAACAACTAGGCATTTTTGGTGTAATTCTGCTTTGTAAGGAATCCTCTGTTGCCTCCTCTCAGCTTTCATTGAGATCGTTGGTTCACATTCATCTCCATACATCCACTTACACTCATCCACTGCTCCAGCAGGAGCAGGTCAAACACTTGGATAAAGGAGTACACTCCAGATGAATTAGCTGAGGACATATATCAAGCATCTGATAGAGAATTCCAAAGTGAAATATATACATGCCTTCTTTCTCATTCTAAATTGTGTTTGTTATAAACTCCAAGGAGTATCTCTGTTACTCAGCAGGACCCAGGAGGACAGAGGTGCAAATAATCACCAAGTAACTTAGTCTTGGAGCCCTGGGACACAATCCAATTTCAGCTGTCCTCAGGGAAACGAACCCGAGAAGAAGCAGCACACAGGGATGCTGGGGAGTAAGAAAGAGGCCAGGCTTTTCACACCAGGTGCAACCCAAAATTGCAGTGTACCCCTCAGCCCTGTAGCTGCCTCATGAGTAGACCCTGGAGAGGCAGGGAAGGAGAAAGGGGGAATGGTATGGGTGGGGAAGGAGGAAGGAGAGAAATAACTGAGGCAAACCCAAGCTTTAGGGCATAAAAGTATTCAGGAGAGAACCACAGCTTGTCAATGGGCATGTTATCTAAAACCAGGCACCTGTTAAATATTGTATGTGACAACTCCTGTTTTAACAAGCCACTATTCTCAAAACATCTGAAAGAGAATGCATTTTGTGACCAAAAAAGTGAATACCATGTATGGTTTATCTCTCTAAATAGAAATAGCTATATTGATTTATAGATATATTTTATAATATATTTATAAATGCATATAGGGGATTCTCTATAATGGATTTATGTAAATATATAAACATGTAAGTATATATGAGGTATTTTATATAATGGCAGATTTGGGGATCTCTTTTATGGATATGTTTATGGATCTGAACCTTGCCCCCGGTAGTGCCATTAAGCTGACATAAAGAAGCCCTCACCTGCCATCATCTCCCTCTCAATTGTTTCAACTCACCTTAGGATCTTGCTGTGTGTTGCAGCCTCTACTACCTTATCCCCTTCTGCATGTGATGATAGTTTGTTGAAAAATTCTCCTTTAAGACTGATTTTTTTCCATGCATTACTTCAACCCAAGATGATTTTTTCTTCTGGAAACTTTAAGCAAACTTCTTTGCAATTTTTGAGTTAAACAATGGTGAAAAAATGTAGACGTTTCCCCTTGTAAACATTTTCATATGTTTTTATGATCAGGCATAACTCAGAAATGTCTGCACTTTAACATCCAAAATTTCATGGTTAGCTAGTTCTCTCTAAGGACAAGGACCTTTAGTTATTGGTAATAAACAGAATAAATACAACTATTTATAAATATTTAATTTCTTGTCCTTGCACACCTGTGGTAGTTGACCTAACTCATTCTGGGAGCTAGAGCACATGACTGGTTGCAGCACGAACGCCAAATTACAGTGAAAGCCACTGGCAGGGTGAGGAGGAGCCAGACATCTTCCCAGTTATAATGGGCCAGAGACTGCTGAGTACACTCTATGATAATCCAAGAAGTGTGGCTGACTTATACAGAAGCAGGATGGAGCCTTGAGTGTGTTGTGAACTAGAATATCCCACTCTCCAAACATTATATACTGGTGCTTTCTTCTACTTGTAGTTGGACCTAATGCAAAGCACCCTGGGAGGAAACTCTTTCCACTCTCTGTCACCTGTGGCAAACTCCCATTGCATCTGAGATGATGCCATTACCCTGGTTCAAGACATCTGTAGGAGATCACCCTTGATTCATTCATAAGGACACCACTTGGATGCAAAGGTCTGCCTCGTTGGAATAACTTACAGTATCAGGGTCTAAACTACTGATGTTATAAATCACTGGACACTAAGCCTGTGTTTTAGATTAGTCCCTTGTGCCTAGATCATAAACAATGTTGAGTGCCTCATCCTGCAGGCATTCAGGGATAATTAGATAGATGCCCTGCTAATGAATGGATGAATTACTAATCTAAACATTTGTTTACAACAGGAGAATTAGCTTCTCAAGTGAAAAGATGAGCTCGCTGAGCCTTGTAGCATGCCACAGCGAGCTATGCCCTGCCTGTGGGACCCAAGACAAATGTGCAGCAAATGAAACCCCGGCTGCACCTCCCCAGCCCGCTTGTTGCCCCAGGTCCGTACCCCTGCACTCAGCTGTCAGATTCACTGCAGAGTCTCTCAGACCACCCGCGCTGCCAGGAAGAACTTTGCGCAACTCAGCACTGAACCTGTCAGCTGGGATTGCTGTGGAGGGCATCAAGCTGAAATGGCGAGGCAAGAGGCAGTTACACAGCTTATTTACCTGTTTTTCTAAATTTGACTTGAGACGGGATGGGAAGGGAAATAATGGGGCAAGTGCAGAGAAAGATTTTTTTTTTTTTGTCCTGAATTGCTTAAAAAGGCAGAATGACTCGGATGTAAGAAAAGGTATGATATTAAGGAGAAGAGAGAAATGTGACTGCTGTTTCAGAATTTA